ACGTGTTCATAGATTCTGGGCTCATAGATTGGCTTAGCAGCTGAGGATGTAATTCCGTGCTTTAGAAGTAATATATTTTACTTTAGAGCAGTAAAAGAAGATTCATAGGATTGTTATTCAGATATTAGTATTCTCACTGCATACATATTAGCGTGTCACGTAGGAATTTAGCATCCCCCCTATTTATGGACAATGGTGTTTGCGCAGTGCGGGTGTTATGCTTTGCAACCCCTCCATATATAAGCGCTACACCCAGATCCTTGAATCATTCCGTTGAAAGCTGCCTAAGGAGAGTGTAGAAAGATTCACCCCACCTACCTCCCCTGGTGGCGGTTGACGACGCATCGCATGCTTTTCGCATGCTCATGCTCATTATAAAAACACACATTTAAAAGGTGTACACTTTTGTATAAATTTAATGTGGGGAAAATAAGGAAGTTCACAAGTTCTGAAAAACACACATTTAAAAGGTGTACACTTTTGTATAAATTTAATGTGAGAAAAATAAGGAAGTTCACAAGTTCTGAAAGACAAATACATCTAAAATGTCCCAAAGTGAGAGAATCGCGTCAAAAGATGTTTTATATAGGGAGGGGTGAGGGAAACACAAAACACTAGTGCCCAGTGTTCGGAGGAACACATAACTCGGGGGAACACAAATCCCTGTGACCGAGAAACGATAGTGCTGACCAAGAGGAACGTGGGCTCTGTGTACGATTGATTGTCGATAGTGTTTGGGCTGCCTGTGGTCTGAGTCACGAGAATCAATCCAATATGGCGGCTCTCCCATCACTTCCGTCTCTCTGTCGTCTGACTTTCTTATTGAGTTTTTCCTGTCTTTCCCTGACATCAGCAGCAAAAACATGTAAAAAGTTAGACACTTGTAGCTGCAAAATGGATGACGGTTCAGGGATTATAAGTCTGCAGGATTTAGATCACAAGGACGGGACACCAAGGTCTGAAGTACTTTCAGTTTTCTACTATTTTATAGCTTATCAAATATCTTCAGTTTGTTTCATTTTCTTTAATTTCCTGATATTTCTTGCAGTTTCTCTAATACGTTTATGCACCAGTAGATACTCATGAATTTAAAAGTGTTATTTAGATTTACTTAAACATATTTAATTTCATGCACATTGATTGGGGTTGATCGGTTATGGTGTAATGTTATCTTAAAATAAGGGGGCATCCTAAGATTGAGAATGCATGGAAAACTGAAGACAAATAGTTTTTATATAATTATAAGTCTGCAGGATTTAGATCACAAGGACGGGACACCAAGGTCTGAAGTACTTTCAGTTTCCTAACTATTATAAAGCTTATCAATCTTCTGTTTAATGTTTCATTTTCTATAATTTTCTTGCAGTTTCTCAAATACATTTATGCACCAGTAGATACTCATGCATTTAAAAGTGTTATTTAGATTTACTTAAACATATTTAATTTCATGCACATTGATTGRGGTTGATCGGTTATGGTGTAATGTTATTTTAGAATAAGGGGGCATCCGAACCAAATAAGTGCATGGTGCAAAAGAGTGCAAAACTGAAGACAAAGAGTTTTCTTTGACATCTAATAATAATTACTTAGATTATACACAAAAAATGCACTCTATTCTGATCATTAACAAAGCCCACCCAGACAAATTAGCCAATCACGATTGAGTATTTAAAGAATAGAATCTGTACAAATTTTTATAATTTTTTCTTTTAAAAGCATATCTTTTACTTTATACGAGTGCGTGTATGATAAGAAGTGAACAAGAAACAGTTTAAAATCCAGAATTCCCCAATTCATCTGTTGTTCGGCATCAAAAATGTGATTTGTGATTTTGATTTAAAATTTGTTTGGGTGGCCTTGGTTGATGTAGTATTTTATCCTCACTGCATACTCATTACTGAGTCACAGGAATTGAGATATGAAAGGTGACAGTAACTGATGGCAATGAGCATGCAAAAAGCATGCGATGCGTTGTAAACTGCCACCAGGGGAGGTGGTTGGGGTGAATCTTCTACTCTCTCCTTAGGCAGCTTCCGACGGAATGATTCAAGGATCTGGGTGTAGCGCTTATACATGGAGGAGTTGCAAAGCATTACACCCGCACTGCGCAAACTCCAATGTCCATAAATGGGGAATTGCTAAATTCCTATGTGACATGCCAATTATGTATGCAGTGAGAATAGTTGCACTTTTAGTTGCTATGGGAACTACAAAATAATTTTTTTGTCTAAGTGCCTAAGTGTCTTACCCACCAAAACAAGAGACTTTATTAAGGTCAATATAGTTCTCAATTAATATGTCCTTGACCTGGGAACCAAACTATCAGACTGTCTTATAAGAAGTGCGAAGCAGTTCCAAAGGACATTTTATTTATCAAATTTGTCTCCTAGTTAAACCTGGGCATAGTATACTCGGCCTCAATTTTGAGACACTTGGAATATTTTCACACCCACTAGACAGTGACTGCCAGTCAAGGATTTCAAAACACTAAATAGCTGGCAGTAATGTAGTGTTTAAAAAACGAGTAGGAGTGTTTTATCAGGTATAAAAGCAGGAGGCATAGCTAAGTGGTTTTAGACCTGATAAATTAAAACACGATCTAAGAGTTTTTTAAATTTCTTCAAAAACTCATGAACAATTTATAAGATTTTGGTTCAACTTGAACCACCATACACATCACGAACATGRATTTTTATACTTCGATAGAGATTTGACGTCATGGGCATGCGCAACCAGATTCAATAGAAGCTCCCACACTTGCATATTGCGTGTCAAGGCAAAGACAGGCACGTTAGTCAAAGATCATTAGGGTTGACTATGACCTTGATGAAGCTCTATGTCTTCATCTAAACTTGGATGCATACTTCATCCCTGATGAAGTCATCCTCATAGTATTCGAGTGGTCTTCATATAAAGATCACATGTGTCTTTATATAAAGACACATGTGTCTTTAAATATAAAATCACTTGAATACTAATAAAGAGGACTTAATCGGGTATAAAGGTCCATGCATGTGACGTGTAGGAGGCTCCAATTGGACCATAAGCTTATGAATTATTAATGAGTATGTGYTTTAAATCATTTTAAAAATTCCAGCCTGATCATCCAGCCATGGATTATGCTAGTTTTTTTTTACTGTGGGAACACTCAAACCATGAACACTTCAAAGTTTTTTTAACATTTTTCAAATCATCTAATTGGGAGCCAGATTCTTACCGAGGTTTTAATAAGCGTCAAGCAGTTCATTAGTCCACACAGTCAGCTAAAAATATAACATTTAAAGATTTTTAGCTGTTTGTTGTGATTGTATGGCATCTAAAAAATATTTGATTCCTTTGTTTCTACAGACAGCTGTGATTTGATAGTTAAGAAAGAATGTCAAAAAAAAACTTGAAATATTTATGGTTTGAGTGTCTGTACTGTATTAAATGTAATGTCACTATGACGTCACTGCTTGTTTATGTGGGGGGATAGAATCGCCAAATCCAATAGAAAATTCAACACAATTTGCTCCTAGCGAAACAGTTTAATCTGATATGATATGTGTTAATATGTACTAAAAAATATTCTGAGCCTTTGCTGGCTATTCTACTTCTCTTCGTTTATTGATACAGGTTTTAGAACAATTTTGGGTGAATTTGCGTTGATTTGACCCCCTCCGACGACCATGATCCTTTGCGTTTAAACAATAGATTGTTTTGATGTGACGTCATAGTAAAATAGGGCAATTTCCAACCATTTAAAAAAAAGGATAAAATTGATTGATTTGATAAAATCCATATCTCCAAGTAGCCATGTAATATTCAGGGTTTTCAATACCAAGTAGCCATGTAATATTCAGGGTTTTCAATACCAGCTTGAATAAGTGGCAAAACGTAATAAATAGGCGGGGAGCAGCGATCAAATCTTTCTCACATTTTCCCTAAATTTTGGCGAGCTTTAATCAAAATAGGCAGCATGTTCATGTAAAATACTCCTCGAGATTCACTGGTTGCCGGCTTCTATTGAATACCCTGAATATTATGCTTAATTATAAAATGTAATTATTGATATTCTTGCACTTAATGCAATTTTAGTCCTGGATTTTTACTTTTTAATGCAATTCTTAAGAATTCTTAGCAATGGTGTTATTGTGTTCACTTATATAATTATAAAGGGTTATCGACTTTGCTATATGGTCGTAAGTGATATAAATTTCCATATATCTCATGCATGCATCTATTTTGTATTTGTACATGTAGTTTTACAGGAATCAAAGATACAGTGAATAAAGACTACAAATTTGACTGGAACCCTTGTACTCCTCTTAAGGCTGCAGGACCATGTAAAGGCAGCAATGTAAGTTTGATCATTACTATACCATAGTAGTTTATTTAGCAATTAGTCATCTAGCACGAATGGRCTATTGACTCATAGTAAATCCCAACGTTGGTGTTCAAATTGGGAATTCAAGGAAATTCCCAACAATTCCCAATTTGGGAATCTGGTTTTTTTTCCTGTGTTACTTAAGATATTATACAAAAAGGAAGATTAGGCACAATAGATACAATATTTGCAAATCATGAAGATATTATCAAATCTAATAATTATCTTTGGTCTTATACAGGATCTATTTCTAAGGTGCTCAAATGATTCAAGTGCATAATATATTATGCTAATTATTTTTTCAAGGGCTAAACAGAGCATCTGATAGAGTGCGATTCTGCACTATTGACCTAAAATCGCACCGAATCACACTATTTATCGTTTTTCCGCACGATTTGTCTTTTTCCACATGATTTGTCATTTCCCACCCAATTTTAGAACGGTATCCGGTCATGTCGCCCAAGAGTCAACTCACCCGGAGTCAAGTCGCCTGCAATGTATGGTCAAGTCGCCCGGAGTTTTTTACTTAAGGGAATTGTCAAACCTGTAACACATATATAACTTATTTAGCATAAATAAAGCTTTATTAAACATTGGTAAGGCATTTTAGACTAGCAATTATGGTTCTTGGTTGGCCTTCTTTTCCTTTGGCCTTGTCTGTGCACTCGCTGAAACTCGACTTCCCTTACCTCCTCAACTTTCATCTCCCTCTCCAGAAAGTCCAGCAAAACTTCTTTGGTATCCTTGCGATCTATTCCGTTATGCCAACAAACTTTAAGGCTTATTCTCTCCGTGAATAAGCCTCCATGTAATCTATTTTGGTTTTTATTTTGCTGATTTCGAAATGGTCCATCTTCACAGCCCTGAGATATGCTATATCAGCAGACGCTTGACCTTTCCACTCCTTGTTATCTTCTATGTCCTTATTCAAGTGCTTCATGCCATCATCCATTTCAGAGAGCTTATCTTTGATTTCATCATATTTCGTATTGAGCCGTACAACCTCCGTATCCAGCTTGGATATCTTTTTTTCAACTACTTTAAGCGAGTCAACCACTTCATCTATCTTATTCTCAATAGCACATAGCTTGTCCAATTTCATCATTATTTCTTCTAAGCGGGAAGCCATGCAGTCGGCCATGTCAAGAGCTTGGAAAACTTCATCTTCTGAAAAGTTCCTCTGTTTTTTTCCCTCAGGCGAGGTATTGGAATTCTCAGATCCTTTAGATCTTTGCTTTCGTTTCAGCTTACTCGAATTGCTCACTTAGCCTAAAATTTTGCAAAAATTTTCATTTTTATGACCCGCTCAACCGACAAACGTCCTACTCCTTAGCCATCCAGCCCATTCTTGTCCAATCATAGTTATCAATAAAAATCAGTATGTTTTTGGCAGGAATGAGCAGGAATAACAATTAAGATTTTATTTTGAATAAATTCAACTTTCTAAAAGAAATATTCTAAAACATGCTAATTAGAATTTCCACATTATTGTGCACTATTTCCAAAAATGTTTGCACTTTTCTGCACAATTTTCGTTTTTACCGCACTCTACCAGATGCTCCATTTAAAACATCTCTACCCGTGTAATACTCAAAATACCAACCTCTACTTTCCTACCTACCTTTCTAGGCTTGTCAGCGTACACCAGATCTGTTTCCTGTTGGAAAGCCTGATACAACTTTCTCTGTCAATCCTGATGGTACGGTACTGATGACCTATGAAAAAGTGACTTATAACGATTATACAAGGTGAGGATATTAACCTTTTTACTATGATAACATTGATTATACACCTTTTGCCGTTCATTAACAGAAAATGTACATTCATTTGTGCCAATAGTTGTATCAATAACGTGTAATGTACTTTCATCAACACCACAAGTAACATCATTAGCGCGGATCAACTTTCAATAACGATATTTGAATATGCGTGTACATTCATAGGCATCAATGGACAATCAATAGCGCGTTCGTACATTCATATGCGCGGATTGTATTTTCTTGTGCGCGAAATTAAGAGCGACTGTCCAGAAATATCGAGCACGGGGCGGCCACAGTCAAAAAAAA